TCTATATATTATATATAATATAATAGAAGAGTGGTAAAAATATGGGGGGGCCAGGGCCACTCTAGGTCTAGGAGTGGCTCCGCCACTGATTCTAAGGTTCTTGATGCTATGTACGGTACTGGTGAAGGACAATTTGAAAAGAACACTGATTATATGATCGACGGTGGGCATGAATCTTGTAATTTCACCGATGCGCATGAATTTTATGCCGACTTAACTACTGCTAACCGTGTAAATTTCATAAATAGGTAGGATCTTCCTCACTATTTAGTATATCACACTAATGAAGAGGGTTAACACACACACAACAAAGCTCTATGTTTCAATGACATATGGTTGCCTTATGTGTGCTCGGTTATGTTTTGATAGCTCGCTAAGAGCTTCCTGAAATTTGTAAGCATTGAACTTAGAAAAGTTCAAAGATTTCAGATCGGAGTGACATTTAAAAGAGAGTAAACTATCTCACATGTGTAGTTTATAATATCCATTGCCTTAAAAAACTCCTTTGTTCTTGTCATATGCAACGTCGAGATGATAACATTATTGACATTTGTTTATTAGTTCTTGTTTTTTTTTTCCTTTGATTCGGGGGCTTTTATTAGTCCCTAAATGTCGTTGGTTTGGTTCTGGGAAAGTTGGAGCTTGTCTTCTGTTCTGCATGGGACTTGAATAAGTTACAATATTTGTTTTTGTTTGTGTACGTATCCATTATCGTTTCTTGGCGGTCCATGTTGAACCAGATGGACCAATTGCTTGAGGCACCGTCTGTTTCTTTTGTTCTTTAATCATTGTTCTTTAATCAGCTACCGTCAGACAAGAAAAAATTTAGCTACCCAATCCTATGATTAAATAGCGTGCTGTTGTCGGTTATATATGTTGGTCAGGAGGACTGTGCTACGTACCCCCTTTTTTTTTTTCATCTGAATTCGAATCAATCTTCTCGTAGAATTTTATTTTTTATTTTTTAACTGCTTCTTGTAGATTAGAGTGCTTTAGATTATTTCCAACTAATATGTCAAATTGCCAATTGGACATGAAATGACAAAAATTAAAGGTTAAAGTTGTTTTGATCGAGCAGTTAAATCCTACATGGATTTGAAGGCTGGAAAAGATATGTCAAAAATAACATATCAAAAAACTTGATGTCAAATATTATGTTAATATTTTTTCAGTCATGGACCCCACCAGTGACGGACCTATTGAGGTGTTGCACCCCCCTTGGCCGAAAAAAATCTGTGGAGTGGTGGAAGGTTGCCCCTCTAATGAGGCTGTTGCTGCTGCACTCCATCTGTTCGACGAAAAGACTCACCCAATTTGCGCTCCTTTTTTTTGCCGTGTTGCGCAGCCTATTTTTTTTTATATATATAAAAAAGTCCTAGCCAAAACGACGTCGTTTTAGACTAAGACCCAAAAAATTGAAAAATAAAAAGGAAACATGCGCAGCGCATCCTCCCAACAAAAAAAACAAAAACAAAAAAAAATCCCTGTAATTTTTGCATAAAATTCTAGGGCCTTCTTATTGCTCAGGTTAAATATTCATGTGACCTCCAAGGATAAAAAAGAATTTGAAAAAAAGACACCAAGTTTATTGCGAAAAATATTTTTGCTTGTATTAATCGTGAAAAATACTACGTTTTCATGATTTGAATTTTAAGATTTTGCATTTGACATCTCTCTTGGAGATGCTTTTAGAATATCGCACACAATCATGGTAATAGAGTATGAGAATGAAATATTTAAACTAATTAATGGAGATGGTGATATAAACTTGACACTTCTTTCAAGTTCAATTCACCAACTTGAATCTTTTTTTAACCCACAAAAAAAAAAAAAAAAAAAAAAAAAACTGGAAACTTCTCTCACTTTGGAAAGTGAAAATTTAAATATTCGAATTTTGAAAGAAAAATTGGTCGATGATTGAAAGAATATTTTACAGTGGGATTCTCTCTTGTGATGGCTTAACACGTACCAAGAAAGAGACTTATGATTTCTTTTAAGCATATGGCATGTGATAAGCCTCTTGAGAGTCAACGTTTGCTTTATTAATCTGGAATATTTCTGCTTTTAGTCTGTGGTTGGATTCCATCATTCTTGTTCCTATCTTCTAAGTAAACATCAAATAATGGTGCCTTTTTTTATTTAACAAAAGTCTAATTTGTGCTGGCTTTCATGTTTTTGGGAATTCTACGCATCACTCCACATAATTATCTCTTTCGTCTGGAGTACTGCAGGGGACAGAGTCCAAAACAAACTTATAGCAGACACTTCTGGGCTTGCAACACCAATCAAGCCTCCCTGAATGCAAATCGACTACCGGCTTTAACAGGGAAGGGGATCCAAAATCAATTGGCCCAAACCTATGACTCAGTCCATATACAATCGGTTGGATGGGCACAATCCTCCGAATTGAATCAATTTTTGTGTGAAAACCACAACTACAATCATACCGAACCAAACCAATTCATATATGTAAGAATTGGCCAATAGGGTATAGCTAAGTTGGTTGAGCTCTTCCACCTCGATTAAGGCCAGGTTTTGAGTCAGAGCAGGAGGTGCTACCGCCCTAGGCCCCGGCTCAAGAGAGGGCCCAATTTTAATTTTTAATTTTTATTAATGTGATCAGAGTTTTGTAAGGGGTTATTTAATGTAAGCACGGCAAATTGTAGCCTAAGTTCCCTCGAGCAGCAGTGGCGGGTGCTGTTTTTAATCCACATCAAGCCTATGTTCGAATCTTAGCATTGTGCTATATATATACAAATGGTCTATTTTCAATGTCGCCCTAGGCTTAAGAAATCTCAGGGTTGGCCCTGCCGTCACTTATGTGGGCAGAGGTTTAAAATCTAGAACTAATGAATATTTTTGTAAAACCCCCTCTCCCAATCGCTTGTACTAAAAAAATTGTAAGAATTGTTAAATAATAGTCTATTTGTCTTGGTTCAATTTTGAACGAATTTTCTGATTTTATGTATGAATACGAAACCAAGCTTTTTGGATTAGATTGGATTGATTTGAGCTGTTTAGTTAGTAAAATGCCAACTCCTCCTGTCCATGCCCTCATAGTTTGGAACTATGATTTTGTGTTTTCAACAAAGTTTAAAGCACTTAGAATATCTTGAGTTTTTGTCTGAAATACTTGACAAAGAAAATTGGTCAATCCCATAATTTTATCCATGAAAAGTAATGAAAACACAAACTCAAAAGACATCATAGCAATATAGTTACTCTTTGCATTGCCACAAAATTGTTGGTTAGGTCCATAATCACTGATTTCCTAGAGAAGTATTTTAGTCTCTTCAAATAAATTCATCAAACTTGTAATAGAGGCAAAGTGAGATCCCCAACGAGTGGCTCCAGCTCGTTTCAAACTATGACCTTGATTAAGTCCTCTACTTGTCTCAAGTTCCCCAAAATCCAACAACTCTTTGGGTTCAGCTTTTTGAATTAAATTTAACTCATTACGGCGTTTAGCAGAAACACTAACAAAATTCACAATGTTAGTCAATGTTGAAAAAAATCTCTATACAACTTTCACATCTTTCGCATGCTTATATTGCTTTTTATTGTTTTTGTTAAAGGAGAAAGTTTGAGTGGGCTAGGCTATTGTTTTTGTTAAAGTGAAAATTTTGAGTGTGTTGGGTTTGAGTAGGCAGAAGAAATTTGATTGTATTGGTTATTGGGTAATTTTTGGTTTGGCAAAAAATGGAGTAGGTGGCTGCCTACCCTACTCTTAGGGTAGGACTGCCCTTGGTGAATTGGGTTTGAGTAGGCAAAATTTTTTTAATTGTATTGAATATTGGGTAATGTTTGGTTTGGCAAGAAATTGAGTAGGCGGCTGCCTACCCTGCCCTTAGGGTAGGACTGCCCTTGGAGACCACACAAAGGATAGTCTTCTATGCTCTTCTGAGACCTAGAGAATTATTTGAGCATGGTCGTATTTCCTGACCGGATCAGAGTGAAAATGTCAAAGGCCAGAATAATTAAACTATTGCATGCGTTGTTCCCAGACAGCATTGGTTGAAGATGCCATAACTTCAAGGTGTGACCACTTCATCAAAATGAGATACTGATAAGTATTTTTTTTGAACTTCATTAAATGATAGATACTAAAAGGGTAAATGATAAAGGGAATAGAAAAAAAATTAATTACTCTGCAGTCTTGGAAACACAAGTATAATATTCTATCACACTGCTTTTATGAAAAAGTTACACTAGAATTCCCAAACATCATCACCAGCAGCAGTACCCTGTGAAAATTGAAATCCCACAGGCCTGCGTCCACCACCCACAAATTGCAACTGGCATAAGGTAGCGGGTTGGTTTCAGAGATTTAAATCTTTTACTACCCAACCAATACAAGACTACAAATTGCAACTGGCAAGGAAGGAGCCATGCCCATATTCTAATGTATTTGTCCGCGTATTATCCCAAAACGGCACAATAAATTCCATAGTTCCCAACTGTTTCTTCTTCTTATGTCAGTCGGTATAAACAAACAACTGTTCAAATCTCTGAAAAGCTAGCTGTATGCCAATCACCTTTCACATTACTTTATATACCTCTCCATCCTCTTCACCACAGTCTTCATTCACTGAGTTTGCAAAAACAAAAGCAAACCCAACTCTGCAAAACCAAACATGAAATCCATTTCAAATTTCAAATTCCTCCAAGCCTTTTTTGGAACACTTGTACTAACCCTAACCCTCCTATTCGTTGAAAGAACGTCTATTCCAGTCCAATCCAGTCTAATCTGGAACGGGGTCCTAATTGAGTCCTTAATTAATCCCCCCCTTCGCATCATCTACAATCACCCCACCTTTCTCTTGTCTTGCATTTGGTGCCTTTTCCTTTCCATCCTTTACTACTACATCTCTAGTCAAAACCCAGTTTTCCTCCTGGACTTCTCATGCTTCAAACCAAACCCTAACCAAAAATGCAGCTACAAAGCCTCTGAGCTCTTTGTATTCAGGACGAATCGCTTCAGCGAGGAAAGCCAAGAATTCATGAGTAAAATCTACCTCAAATCGGGCCTAGGGGACGAAACATATGCACCAAAATTCGTCTTCCAATCCAACCCAAAATCCGACCTCGAATCAGCCATTTGTGAAGCTCAAGAAGGCATGTTCTCGTCGATCAACTCACTCCTCTCAAAAACCAACATCGACCCAAGTCGTATCGATTGCCTAATTGTAACATGTGGCAGCTTCTCTCCCATCCCCTCCCTCACATCCCTCATTGTCAACCATTTCAAGCTCAAATCCGACGTAAAAACCTACAATTTAAGTGGCATGGGGTGTAGTTCGGGAGTAATGTCAATCGATTTAGCTGCCAACGTACTAAAGCAAAGTAAAAAAATTGGTTATGCTCTCGTGGTCATAATCGAAGCTATTAGCTTGAATTGGTACTATGGTGATAGCCGTCCCATGCTTGTAACAAATTGTATTTTTCGCGTCGGTTCTGTGGCCGCAATGATCACAAACGATCCGAGTTGTCGCCGAGTTGTCAAGATGGAACTCGTTCACTCGCTTCGAACTCACCACGGAGCGAATGACCGAGCTTATAAAGCTGCATTTCAAGAGGAGGATGACAAGGGATGTACTGGGTTTTCCCTAACTAAAGATTTGATTCCAGTCGCAGGCATGTTTTTACGTGAACACATCAAGATTCTGGGTCCCCGAGTTCTACCACTGAGTCAACTCGGTCTGCACGTCTACTCGGTAATTCGTTCTACAATGACGAGCGGTGCGTCGAAACCAATCGTCCCAGATTTCACCAAGGCTTTTGATCATTTTTGTATTCACACGGGCGGGAAAGCGGTGATCGAGCAAGTTGGTCGGGTTTTGAGATTGGGGGAAGAGTTGACTGAGCCGGCTCGGATGAGTTTGCACCGATTCGGGAACACTTCGAGTAGTCTTGTGTTTTATGAGTTGGCGTATCTTGAAGCTAAAGGGAGAGTTAAGAAAGGGGATAGGGTGTGGATGTTAGGTTTTGGGACTGGGTTTAAAGTTGGTAGCCTTGTTTGGAAGGCGCTTTTAGATTTCGGAAATGAGAGGGATAATCCATGGAGTGATTGCATCGACAGGTACCCATTGAAGTCATGGTAAATCTGATAAGGCTATAGTCATACAAATTAGTCAGAAAATTGAGGTGGCTTTTTGGTATGCAATTCAATTAGGGAATTCAAAAACATTATTAATTTTTCTTAAAAATAAGGAGTTGTTTTCTATTTCTAGTATTTGAGTGTTTTTTAGTTTAGGTTTTCAAAAATGGGTCTATACCAAATAAATTTTTTGAGTTTTGGACTCAAATTTTGGTTTTAAATTTTAAAGTTGAATTCAAATAGAATACCAAACACGTATGATTATTTGTACTTATGAAACTCACATTTTTTTATCAAAGAATTAAAGAGTATAAATTTATCTGCTACTGAAATTCTCCCTGAACCAATTGCTACATGGATCCAAATCCTCTGCTGCTTGGATTTTATACTGATCTAACGGGTAATAAGAAACACATAATTTCTTAGTCCTGTTTTTCTATATATGAAATTAAAAAAAAGAAACAATAATTGTATGTTTGACTTCTCTTATGCAAAAATGTCACCTCATTTAATTTCATTTAAGAGTTTGAAAATTACACATTATGACAAACAAAACCCTTTCGTCACTTTCCATCTCAATTATCAAAAAATCAAACAAAATTCAGTGTACTAGCTACTAGCAGAATCCCATCAAGCCGCAAAACCCACCCTATTGCCAGACCAGCATAAGAGTTATATTGGTAAATATACACTTATTGCACCGTATTTATCCCCCTTACTCTCGATGGCGATCCATCAATTAGTGAAAGAAGTGCACGAAAATGAGAGAGAGATAATTTTGTTTATTCTAAAGCAATTTGGTTTTATCAATAGGGTGTTAGTTGGATTGACCAGTGATTTGGTGTGCTCTTAAGTGGTGCTGGATTCTAGTCCCATTGTACCTGTGTATGTGAGAATCTCCCCTCTCATTTCATAATTTTTTAGGGAAAAAATAAAGCAATTTGGTTTTCTTTTCAAATTGAGTGCTAGACATGTTGACAGAAGGTTGACTTCACCTATCTTTTTAAAGGAAATCTCATCAATCAATAAGGAATAACCCATGCTTGTCATACCTCACCTACATCCCACCAATAAGGAGTATGGAGCTATATCTCTCCCATGCCTTCTTCATGCCCAAAACCCCTAGTCAAGGAGAACCATGCAAAATCCCCAACAATCAAGCAACCTTGTCTACCAATACTTGGACTACAAAAGAGAGGTGATCACCTCCAAGGGAAAGGACCACTCTCTCGCACACTCTCTTTTCACATTTACAAAGGCTCTCAAGCCTCTTTCTTTTACAAAGGGCTCTCAGGCCTCTCATAATATGTAAAACTCCATAGAGAAATACAAATACAAAAGCTCCAAACTGGATGTAGCCTAATTATAGGTGAACCAGTCAAAATCATGTGTTATGTGTGTGATTATGTCTTAATCCGTTGTTCTACTCCAACAAGACAATTATTATTTATTTTTAGGCTTATTTACTGTTTCACCCCTGGAACTTGAGCTCGCTCTCACTTAACGACCTGGAACTCAAATTTTCCCACTTTACCCCTTGAATCTCTAAAAGTTGTTAAAATTTTCTCACTTTACCACTTTTGTCCATTTCCGTCCACAAAACCGTTAAGTGTGTTAAGGTGACATGGATATTCTAGTAATTTTAGTCCCTCTATCTTCTCTCTTCTCTCTGCCTCTCTCTTGCTCGCTCGCTCTCTCTCTCTCTCTCTGCTTCTCTCTTCTCTCCCATCCCATCCTCAAACTTTACCCCTAGGGATCCTCCATCGCACCCTACCCCTCCTCTCCCTCTACCTCTCTCTTCTCTCTCTCCCTCTTCTTTCCCCTCCCAAACCCACATCGCATCTCCATTGCAACCAACCCCTTCCCATCTTCTTTCTTCTCTGTGCCTCTTTCTCTCACTCTCACTCACACTCACTACCGATAGTGAAGATGGGGAGTGGCTGTCAAGGATAATTACTTTTTAGAATTTTGAGCGGTGGTGGTTTGGGTGTGTTGAGTAATTCTATGGAGGGTTGGGTCTGGGGTGGGGGTAGGGGTGGCAATTTCGGACACGACCCGATACACGACTCGAAACCCGCACGAGAAATTAGCGGGTTCAACCCGCACGATAAAAAAACAGGTCAATTTCGGGTCAACCCGTTCTGACCCATTTAATAAACGGGTGGGTTTCTGGTCAACCCGCTAACCCGCTATAATACCTATCTAACCCGTTTATTAAACGGGTTGTGTCGCGGGTCGTGTCAACCCGCATCGAACCCATTAACCCGTTTTATTTGCAAACTCTAAAAGACTAAAACCCTAGCAGAATACTTATTAATAATTTAATACCCTCCAAAAAAAAAAAACGTTGCATATATATTCATAAGTTCATAACCCTAGCCTCTCACTCATACGCTCTGATACAATACAAACGACCCTTTCACACAGCCGCCTAGCCTTAGTTTGCTCAGTGCTCACCAAACCAGTTTTCTCCTCTCCAAGTCCAATCCAAGCCTCATCTCTTTACTCCGTCTGCTTTGGTCTCATCTCCGTCTACCTCTCGACTCTCTCTCGTTTACCTCTCAACAAATAACAAGAGGGTTGGTCTTGATACCCAGATCAAATTCAAAGGTTGGCTTTTTTTCCTGTGCTTAGTTTGCATTTGACGGAATTCCTTTTCCACTTTTCGTTTATTCTATTGGTTTCTGATTATGTTGTTTGGGTTGTCTTAGAATCTTAGATTGGTGGTTTTCTAAATTTTGTTTTTGGGTTGTTAAAGAGAAACTAATTATTATAATATCAAATTGTGAATGTGATGATAGTGGTGAAATAAAGGCAGCGAAACCTATCAATAATGTACTGGCAGACAATAGCATCAAGATTAATAGTGTTGTTTTGTTGTTCTATTTCTAATTTATTTATGGTATTGAACTTTTTTATTTCATTTCAGGTTCGATTGGAGTTGGAGGTGTTGGAATTTATAATTTTGTAAGTGTTTTTTTGGTTAAATTCGTTGTTGTTTTGTTGCACAGATTTTGCTTGATAATTATTTTTTTAATATGAAATTATTATGTTTCATATAGGTGGAATGGATACTTTTGAAGGTGTATCCGAAAGTGCTGAAGGTGGAGTTGGAGTTGGAGAAGTTAGAAACAATGTTGTTGATTCAGATCCATCAAACAACAACAATGCAGTTGTAACTCAGACTGGTAAGCGGCGTAGAAAACTCACATCAGCGGTATGGACTCAATTTGAAATTCTTCCAATAGATGAAAATAATGAGCAAAGAGCAAAGTGTATGAAATGTGGTCAAAAATATTTGTGTGATAGTAGATATGGTACTGGGAATTTGAAGCGTCATATTGAATCTTGTGTGAAAACTGATACTCGTGATTTAGGCCAGTTATTATTATCTAAATCTGATGGGGCTATCTTAACAAGGTCTTCCAAGTTCGATCCTATGAAGTTTCGTGAATTATTAGTGATGGCAATTATCATGCATGACCTACCCTTTCAGTTTGTTGAGTATGCTGGAATTAGGCAACTGTTTAATTATGTTTGTGCTGATATTAAATTGGTATCTCGTAATACTGCAAAGGCTGATGTGTTGAGTCTTTATAATAGAGAAAAAGCTAAGCTTAAGGAAATTTTGGGTTCAGTTCCTGGAAGAGTTTGTTTGACATCTGATTTATGGACGTCTATAACCACAAATGGTTATCTTTGTCTCACTGTCCATTTTATTGATGTTAATTGGAAATTGCAGAAAAGAATATTGAATTTTAGTTTTATGCCTCCTCCTCATACTGGTGTTGCATTGTGTGAGAAAATCTATAGGTTATTGACTAATTGGGGGGTGGAAAAGAAACTTTTTTCAATGACTTTAGACAATGCATCTTCAAATGATAC